TAGCATTTGTGTTCTTCTTTTACAATTACAGTACTTTTTTTTTTTTTGAGGTCACGTGAAAAACACGAGTACGTAAACTTTTTCCTTTTTTTTTGACATTGATGACATCCTTAAATCTCTCTAATACAGGTGGTTTCCAAATGGGAGAAGTAACAAATTGAAGTAGTGGAAATTAGAAAAAGAAAAGAAGAGGGTTCTTTTTATAAATATAATAACAACAGTATTGGTTCTGATGGTTTACAAGCTATATGGTAAGAGTCACACCAGACGAACAATTTTAGCCCCTCGACTATTCTCATCCAACAAGTGTTCAGTCCCGCGAGCTTTGCATCAACTCTAACCACTGCAAAACCGAAACAAAACAATAGTTGTCACATTTCAAGTATATTTTGACATTGTTTTCTCCTTCTCCCCCGCAAAAAGCAAAAAACAGAGAATGGATAATGAAAAAGTTACCTGCTCAAGACATGGCCAAGTGTTGTAGGTAAGGCTTCGATATCTCTCAGCACAATGTAGTATGGGAAGGGGAAGGAATCCATATATGCCGTTTTCTCTAGAGTGTTATTTTTTACAACGAAGTTCTGTTTATGAAAAACAGTAACAGTTTTTTAGCTTCATGACAACTATCGTTTCAGTCTCATATCCAACCCATAGATATAGGAAGAATGGACATACCAGTAAATCCAGAACGGATTGTTCCCGGTTATCGAGAAGTAGATATACCACCATACGCTTCTGCTGGAGAAACTTTCTCACAGATCGTTTCAGTTTCTCTCGCTCATGGAACTTACCATCGTCGATGATTAGTACAAGTTGTTGAAGAGGGTTGCTCCCGTAAGACTGTGGGCTTGTGCTGGCCAATTTCTCAAGCATGACATTCATGTTTCTCAGCAGATTGGCGACTGGTTCATCTTCAATTTGATTTTCTTGTTCAAATGTTAAACCTGATGCCATCTGCACCACATAAACGAGAAAATGAAATGTTTTCCGTAAGAAAACAGGGCAAATACAGAGAAAACAAAAATCCAGTGCGACATTGAAAAATTTAAGACGACTAACCTTAATACTGTGCTTCCGTGGTGAAAGACTGACCAAAATCATGCAACATCTTTATGCTTCCTTTCTTCCCAAAACTTGCAACCGCCAAACTCCCCATCTTAAGCTGTGACATAGCTCGGCACACAGTTGCCAAAGCCCTAATTGCAAAATCACCACATCCACCTTCCGACATGCTATGTGAATCATCCACAGCAATAACAACCTGGTAATCACGCTTGTTTGGTTTTGTCCTCCTCAACCAAATTTTGTCTTTCCTGTAGTGGCTTGCTATGTATGGAATAACCTTTTTCATGTTGATCCTTTTGCCCGTTCTGTAATCACCACTGAGCTTGCTAGCAAGTGTGGGTTCCAAAATAAGACGTAGCTGCTCAGCCAGCTCCTGAGCTGGTTTCGCAGTAAGCAACTCACATCTCCTCCAAAGAATAACTGCATTACTTCTGGCATCAGGATCTTCCTCATTAATCTGATTGTTTTCCGAGTCCTTCTCAGTCACCTGCATCCAGTCAGATATACATGCGTCTTCCCCCAAGAATGTACTGTCAACAGAGACCGCAGAATCCATCAACAAAATTCTGAATATGAGAGTTCTCTTGGTGGGTCCTGTCTATATCTGACTCTTTAACCGGTTCAGATGCTATTCCTGATCGACGGTTTGGACTGAACAGCAGGTTTGTTTTCGGGATTCACATCATCAACATCCATCGGGGAGGCTTCATCTTGATTACCTGCGAGTCTTTCTTCCTCAGATTCCCCCTCTCTCATATTTGTGTTCACTTGCTCAGGCAACGCAGGTCCTAGAGCTTGGGAAGCTCCTGCATCAAACTTAGAAGCATATCCATATTCACCAGCATCAGGGTCTTCCATCTCATTTTCAGCCTCTTGCTTTTCTCCAAGGTCTGAGGAGACTCTAACTCTTTCTTTCCACTCCTTCAATGCATCACCAACGTTCCTATAAGGATTCACCTTGGTTTGTTGAGATGTAGATGACTGGTCCATCTTCGTTATTTTGTCTGTCAATGTCTCACCACTGGCCAAGCTAGTCATCGTGAGGTTCATCTCAGTGTTACTACCTAAAGGCTGATCCATTGAATCCGTGAGTTCGTCCGAAACATTAGTAGCTGACAAATTTTCTTGTGGTGCTGTACTTCCTGCCCCCATCCCATTAGATCCATGAGGATTTTGTGAACCGGAATCCACGCCAGAAATATTATCATTACAGAAGTTTGGCTTCACATCTTCTGACATAGTTTCTTTTCCTTCTATTGGTTCCGTTTCAGATTTCTGTTCAAGATCAACTCCAGGATCTTCTTTTCGGGAGGATTCACACATATCTTCAGCCCTATCCTCCATTGTTTCCCCAGCAGGCTCTTGTGTTTCTTGGTCATATTCACCTTCTTCAGGATGCATTTGATCTTCTGGACTAGGTTCTTCCTGCTGATCTGCATCTTCCTTTTCGACCTCATCTGTTTCGTCAATCTCCATGTCATCATCAATCTGTCCATTGCCCACATCAGGAGTTAGTCCAGCTGGATCTGCAAGTGCTTCTTCCTTGTTCTCGATTTTATCTTCTAAATTTTCAGTGTCACCAAAATTATCCTGATTCACAATCTCATCGTTTCCTTCTTCTGGTTTGTCAGAATTATTGGACTCCTCAGGCTCATCAGCAGTATCAACACCATCATCCTTGGCTCTTAGCTCCATTGAACTTGTGTCCTTGTCGATAACAGATGGTCCAGAGTCATTCCTCTCATTCATATTTCCCGCCTCCTCATCTTCATCCTTGTCCTACGGCTTTTCATCGGCAGTTGATCGTCATCTTCAATTTGGTCACTACATCTTTTTTCCCCACACCATCTCCCATACCAGTACCTTCTGCAGCTTCTGATTTGTCAGCTTTAGAGCCATCATCTTCATCGTTTTTGGAGATGCCAAATCCTTTTGTAAATAGATCGGCAAGAACAATTGCAAGGACATGGGTTATCAATGACACCTACAACCCAAAAAATTAAAGCACAAAGTACCAAATTAATCAATTAATGAGATAAGCTTAGACCCCAGAGGAGTATAACTATTGTCCCGAATACCTCTGAAAGAAAAGCATAAGATAAAAACATACCGTTTTACTCATCGCCAAAAAATCTTTGAGGTAACAATCGCCAAAACTCAATAAAAGATCCAAAGATGCTTGAAGTTGCTTCACATACGGAAAGGACGCCCGATGAGTTCAACAGTTGTTCCTGTGAAGATAATAGCCTTGGTTCAATCAAAGCTTGAAGATAACAGAAAAATAGCATGACCATACTTCAAAAGACAATCCAACTTACGATGGAACCAAATGCTTTCTTAAACAGACCATCCCATGTAGTAATATTCGCTTCCTCTTCTTGAGAAACATTTCCGTCTTTATATGAGCAAATCTTTATAAAAACATTTGCAAACGTATTTGCAAGATTTTCTTCAAACACTAAAGGTTCATTGGGTTCCATTCCAGTTGACTGGTCTCTCATTTTAAGTAAACAGTTCAGATTCTCAGCCAGCAATTTCCCCTCTTTGAACACGGGGGAAAAATGACTAAGAAGAACATCTCTAGCATAGCTTTTCTCATTGTCTTCACAGAGAATCGAAATTTGATTCTCAAGGTCCGTAAGCTGATCAAAGTTCAGGCGTAGCAGCTGAACCATATGCTGTGTGACAAACTGATGAAGACAGCTACTTGGTGTGATGATAAAACCGTTGGAATCAAGTAGAAGCCTATCCAGTGAAGCCTTCGAATTTTGTGCGATGAGAATTAGCTTTTCTATTAAGCTGAGCAAACTACGTGATGAGGCTTTCACAGTTTGACAGGAGTATAAGTGTGTACTTCCAATTGTTCTCAGCAATGCCAACTCCTCAAGAAGCATTGCAGTAATGTTATCAAAGAGTTTCTTCTGTAGCCACAAGCAATTGAAGATAGCATGCTGATTTTGTGGAAAACTCAACGCAGAATCATCCTTTCTGTTCCCCTCAACTGAATCCCCCAGTAATTTTGCTAAAGATAAAACATATTGGCGAAAGCGGTTTAGAAGTTCAGCAAAGCCATAAGCAGCTTTTCTTTGCCGCCGTTGTATATCCACAAGATGGTTTAGAAATGAGATTGACCGCTTAACCTGCTCCGATGTAACGTTTGAGGTCAATATTTAACACAAGTTGCACTGAAGCCAAGCTCTTAAAATAAAACTCATTCGCCGCTCTCCACTCCACCAGTGAATTTTCCTTGTTTTGATCTTCCACAACCCTGGAAGGATGTATGCTACTTTTGGTATGTGTTAGTAGGAACAGATGCTTTGGATCGTATGCTGGCTGATAAAGCAACCCTTTAAAGTGATTTGACATCTCTACATTTTCAAACTTGTGTTTCTGCAAACCACTATCATCTAATAAATTGAGAAGTGCAGGCAGGGCCCTCTTTTTTGCAACATCTCTGTCGTTGTTTCTCCATAGATCTGAACAGCCAGATATCCTTTCACCAATCGTAGCAACTGTACTCCACAAAATTTTCCAATCACCCTGATAGACAGGGGAAGAATACTGACGCTCTTCACCCATCAGCAATGTTTTACGATGCTTTTCTTGGTGTAAGCTTCCTACCAATTCCTTCAATTTACCCCTCCAAACAGCATACCAGGAAAACCTGTCATTCAATTGTTCTGCATCTAAACACTAACTAGAACCTTGATACTCATGTCGGATGCTACATTCAAAAGATCTGGACCAATAAGAGGGAGCAATTGGGCTCGTTCCTTTGTGAGGGTTGGCCTAACAAGCATAACCGGGAGCCGCAGCATATCAGTAAACTTCTGTATCAGCTTCTTGACCTTTTGCCTGGTTCTTCTAGTGGATTCAATGGACAGATAATTATCGGGCCTCTCCCACCGACAAAGTTTTAGAACCTCCTTTAACTCAGCTTCAACATTCTTTCTATTCATATCTAACTGTTCCATTACAACCGGTAGGAACTGAATATAGAATCCAAAAATATTGTAGCAAATTTCCACCTTGGTCTTGTGTGAATCACTTGAATATATCCCCAACGAGCTACCCATACTTAATTGAAGAAGGAAGCAAAAGAGAAGCTGAAGACGTCTCCAGAATTCACCAATATTTGATGTTTCAATGAACTCCACCAAACTTTGTGAAATAGACTCATTTTCAAGTTCTGAAATTTCAACACAATCCTTCTGGAAAAGAACTGAAAACAAAGGAAGCCACAACTTCCCAGCGTTTAGTTCATACTGCACCTGAACCTCATCAAGTAATGTAGGCCAGCGCTCAAATTCCACCTTCTGCCACGAGCTTGCGAGAGAAATAATTGGCTCCAAAAGATCAGAGATGGGCAATTTACATCCTTCTTCCTGTAACTTCTGAATCTTGCAAAGCAGAAATTGCAATCCTGAAAGAGCCTTTGCCAGAGGAGTACTTGATGGAATATCCAGGAGCATTCGAAGCAGATCAGACAGTTTCTGAAGACCAGGATGGTCCTCCTGTTCTTGCAGTAGAGAATAAATTTTTCGTTGAAGTGCAGCGAGAAACTCAACCATTTTCCCCATCTCAGGACCATTGAAGTCCTTGTAAAAGTTGTATTTACTGGCAGACTGATCGTATGAAGTGAAGGTTTTTTTGTATTCCAAGCAAAGACGAAGCAGGTGTTCTGGAACTTGATGTAAATAAGCCCCTTAGCCCTTTGATCATATTGACTCCAAGTTCATAGGAATCGGTGAATGAATCCAGCCTTCTACTGCCAGTAATACAGAATCTTACAGACTTTTCAGAGAGATCACAGAAACCAAATAACTCATTATGTGTGCTATATATATAATCCAGATGCTCCTGTATCAAGTCCCAATCATCCTCCAAACTTTCTTCATCGTGGTCAGTTTGTGTCATAAGCTTCATATCATCATCAGCCAGATAAACTTGCCACTCTGAGAAACTATCATTTGGGAAGTACTTGGCAAGGGCAGATATATCTACTTCCATGACATTGTCAATTTTGAAATCACGGGTACGAAATTTGTATATCCCAGAAAGAGCTTCGGCCTTTGTTTTTACTTGAAACTTCATCTCCATCCAGTTTCTCGCCAATTCAAAATATATTTGATCCAATATCTCAAAAGAAGCTTTATCCATTAGCCCAGTATTTGCAACAGAATGCAAAACACGAGCATGCAGAATTTTGCATAGAGCAATTTTGAGTTGCAAGTCGGAGACTTTTCTCGAATCTTCTGCACTTGAAACAGAGATCAATTTGTGCAGCAAGCCAACATCCAAACCTAAGGACTTAGCACGTGAATCAGCATCATGAGAAAGTTGCAAAGGTGGCAAGCCCTCGATGTAGGTAGTTGAAGCTAAGGACAATCCCCTTGGAAATCTCATTACGGCATTGATTGTTTCCATGACTGAGTCAACCGTGTCTATGTCAAATTTGTTGAGAACTTTTCCCAAGAGAGCACTAGAGACAGAGAGTGATAAACCCAACTTCATCTCGTATACCGAAACTTGTATCGGCTGAGTTATATCAACATATTCGGAATAATCATTGGACAGCCGATCAATAAAAGATGTTAATCAAGAACTTGCTCGACAACCTGGTTCCAGTCAAGAACTTTAACACTGTTAATCAGACTTATGGGACGTGTGATAAATCCTGCAAACTCATCCAGCGCTCTTCTCAAATCCTGGTACTTTTTAGTATCAGAGCGAAAAGTAACCTTTCTTTGTAATCTTTTATGCTCAGCCTTGAGCTTAGATAATTTATGTGCAGTTCTTTCTTCATTGTTTTCAGTATAAAGCAATCCAGACAGATACTCACATTCTCCCCGGACCTTGATTTTTAGCTCCAGCGATGAAATTTTCTCTTCCAGTTCTAACAGCTTGCAAATGATCTTCATGGCTGGATCTATAACATCAAAGCCATTCAAAAGATGGAAGCGTAATCCTCCAAGATAAATCCAGGCCAGGCCAAGATTGGGATAGAATTCATTTGATGAGCACTCAGAATAAAGATATATCGCCAATGGTGAGACGTATGAGTGAGTAACAGATTTCAATTTCTGATGGCTTGATGAGCCGATCTGTGAGATGAGAAACTGAATGCCCTCCATCTTGTTCTGCTTCTTTTCGATCGCATGAAATGCTGACTTAATTGCCTCAAAAATTTCTGGCTCAAACGACTTTTGATGCGTATATATCATCTGTTGGAAAAGGGAACGCGCTATTGACAGTAGAGAACCATGCATCTCTTGACAGGGTTGTGAGCTTTTCCATAGCAATCGTGAAGCAGAAAGAAGTTTCATTGATTGAACAGGATAATCCTTCACAGGAAAAGCATTTTCCAGAATCTGATCAACTGTAGCTGTTTTAACAGGCTGAATCAGCATAGAAGGTGACAGAATCCAACAGTTGCCGATCTCTGAGATACTCTGTAGGCTCATGAGACCGATTTGACTATTTTTCCACAAAACAGAATGCCACCAGTACCACATCTCGAGAACAAAACCAGCAATTTTGGTGTCAACTCCTAGTACAGAGGCACGTGCATCAATTGCCCACAGGAGTTTCTGATGAGCTACAAGAGTCTGTGGAGGTCTTGTTGTGGATAATGAATACTCTAGAGCAGGTTTAAGCAGTTCTCGAATGTCCACGAGATCCTTCTGTTCAGTAGATTGAGCCACCAAGAGGTTCTGAAGTACATCAAGTAACTCTACATCTAAAGAGCTACTTTCACTGCTAGCAATTAAAGATATCTTCACCCAACTGTTAAAGCCAAACCCTGTAGCCACAATCTCTGGGCGTAAAACACAGCACACAGCAGATTTGTTTTTGATATTATCAATCTCACTGGAACCCATTCTATCCTCCAGTCTCTTCTTCTCTAATTTCAACCTCCCCAAACACGTCTGGTATATCTCATCCAGCTGAACAGCAGCTACATAATCTTCATCGTCCTTGTCGGCAATGTATGATGAAATGCAAAGACCTTCCAAGGCAAGCAAACATAATTCAGGGCCAGAAAATGCAATGGCTTTGGTAAGATGATCATTTCCTCGTTCATCTGATTCTGATTTCAATGGTCAAACTGTGCTGCAGAGCTGTAGAAATTCCTGCTGCTTATGGTACAGCTCTGCAGATACTGGCAAGGAAGGATGCCCCTCATAAGCCCATAGCAAAGACTTTTCTGGGTCACCATGCAAAGTTATCTTGTTAATATTTTTGCTTTCCTCCAGAACCACTTGAACTTCTTCAGGAAAATAACTGTGCAACTTTTTGACTGCTTTTATCAGTGACCAAAAGGAAAATAACAGATACTCATCTGAAGACGAGACCAAACCAGACCAAAAGCATGAGTGGTTTTCTATAACTTCAGTGTACAACTGAATCAACACACTGAAAGAAGGTGATCCAACAATTTCGTAAAGAATTTTCTTCTCCAATACGCGAAGAGAATCCAAAAAGCGAATAAAAGAGGATACATCAGTCTGGTTGTAGTTACTTTCTGCAAACCACTGTTGATAGGAAAGCCGAAGAACGCCAACAGAGTTGAGAGACTCAAAGAGAGGTTTACAGTAAGGTTTTGACTGGTCATTTGATGCTGCTATATCAATCAACTTGGAGGACATCATCGGAATTGGAACAGCATCTGGATCCAATTTGCAGAGGGATTTCAGGTTTTTCCGATATGTAGATATATGATTCCAGATCCGATGCTTCATCTCATCATTCAACATATTGAGAAAACACAGGAAAAAACGGACAGTATTGTTGCAGCTTGGAACCAAACCAACTAATCCACCCAAGATAGAGTTGAATATCCTCTTCGGTTGCCTGTTCCATCGTCCAGTTGGCAGCATATAATAGCTTTTTAGAAGCCAAATCATTTTCAATACTTGCTGCACAAGTTGACCTAACTGAGGCTTTAGGAAACAAGATTTTTTTTAACGTCCGAGAATCGATAGTATAAATTATTCTCGGTTCCCCAGCAGCCAACTCCCTATCTCTCAATTTGACATTGCAGCTTATTTCAGACTGATGTGATGCATACTGAGCTCCTAGGAACTCCAGATACATGCAATTCTGCCTGACAGTAGTTTCTCTTGAGTACCACATCAAGTCTCTCAAGTTGAAAGGCTTTGGCCATCCCCCAGGCAGGTACAGACCCCCACCGGTAATTGAGTCCAGCTCAGGAAGTTCAATATCTGATAAATATGTGTCACGCCCAAGATCAACAACTTCTTTTCCATCAGTTACTCCAAGTGAAGAGAGATAGATGTGCTCCCAACTTAGNTGTAAGCTCCACAGTAGTTGATTACCATTCATGAGCAGCAGTGTGAAGAGGTGAACCCACTGTTCAAGCTCAAGATACGTGATTCGTACACCAAAGGTTTGACCATTACGCCATGCATGAACATGAGCTTTAGCCATGGAAGCAACCAGCTTGTAACCTGGAATACCTGACAGAGCAAAAAACCTTTCCACATCTCTCAGCACAAGCTCTTCACTGTTAGAGCCTACCTCATTAAGCTGCCAATGTGGCCCCATCATAAATACCTCAACACCTCTATTACGCATTGCTCTTGATACCTCCCCAAATTTTGGATTAACAGACAGGAACAAACGAAAGTTAGGGTGTGGAGTAACAGTGACAGGTTCGCCATCAATAATCCCACATTCATTTATAGTGACTGATCCACTAGGTTCCACCAAAGAGTTGATTCTATCAAGTACCGTGGGGTTACAGAGATTTGCATTTTCAAGGACAGCCCACTCTCCATTTTCTATTGCCTTTATCAGCATCCCAGTCACTCATTCAAATTTTGCTGACTGAAATTACGGAACGCATTGTACTGCTCAAAGCATCCAAGTAGATCAGAGCTGTCAGTCGCCGATGAAAGATTTAATTCATTAAGAGGATATCCTGTTAACTGAGCTAATAATCTGATCACTGAAGTCTTTCCAGAAGACGAATGTCCTACTAGGATGCACAACCATTTATTCTGCACACAATGAGCAACAGCTTCCAGATTTTGACGGATCTCGGGCAAAATCTTCAACTGCTCTCTGGAAATATTAGACTGAGTGAAGTTTCGTTTGATAGCAGCAGTTCCCACAACTAAGTATCCAGGATTTAGCTGAACCCGCGGATATGGATTTATACAAGGGGTGTTATCAAAAATAGCCTTACAGATACTCAGAACTTCTTTGCGGTCAGTTGCTGTACGCATTCTTTGAACATAGAGAACGTTGAGAAAGCTTTCAACTTCTACGTTATTTATTTCCCCTTGCATAAACTGGCATGATCTTATCACGTCACGTAGATTGAACTCCCACGGTGAGCCATCGTGACCGAATTTTCGATATACCATAGTGCCATCATGTAACTGTCTATTGAAAGCAATAAGCTTTGAAAGCAATGAACTGGGAATTGATGGGTGAAGCGAGCGACAGATGAAGAGGTAATCATCCTCCACTAGCTCGTCCACATAAACTTTTGTGAATCGGTTAAGGAAAGACTTGGGAAGACCTTTCCTGCCACCACCTTGAGAAGAAGGATTCTGACATGCAAAAACTCTAAATGTCGGGGGACACTCAAANGTACAGCCCAGTTCTGGGATGAAGACTTGAGCACGATGATCCAAAATGGCATTCAACCCCTCTAGAACAGATTGCGGAGCAAGGTTCAGTTCATCTAACAAAACCCAGGAGCCTTCCTTTAGAGCCTGCAAGATAATTCCATCAGACCATGCAAACTTCATGTCTTCATCGCTTTCAACAGGTAAATCCGATCCCAGCAAATCCATCATGTCAGTCTGCTCTGATAGATTTATGAGCACAACCTTGTGGCCAGAATACTTACCCAACGCCATTATCAGACTTGTTTTTTCAACACCAGGGCTACCTTCTAATAAAATTGGTTTTGAAAGCTTCATTGCACGCAATACTCTCAAGACATTCCTGCATGTGGTTGGTGCTAAGAATTCGAATCCACCAATCTCAGGATCTTCAAATTCCTGCATGTGGTTGGTGTAATATTTCCAGCTCTCATCGCTTCCACAAGGGGCCCATCTTGCCACACAAAAATTGCGCGCCACTTTTGATACAGCATCACCATATTGTTCCTTATTTGCTCAAGAACTCCTATTACTGAATCATTTTTGTACTTCTCCAGAATTTCCTCTATTGATTTGATCAACACTTCAGCTCTACCAATATCTGCAGAAAGGTCAATATCTTGGCCAAAAGGCGCCAATATCTCAGAGCACTTCAACTGGTTGACTTGATTCTCGTATTCAGTGACTAATTTGGATCTGTCTCTCACAGGAAAGAACCCACCAAGGAAATCAGATGTTTCTGTGTATTGATGACAGTTGAGGATGTGCAATCTTAGCTCCTTATAATCGCTTAGTAGTTGGCAGATTGTTGTTTTGCCTCCTCCAGTGTCACCAACAAAAAGAACAGGCTCACGCAGTTTACAAGAACGTTCGATGAGAAAAAATAGCCTCCACATACTTTGAGTCCAGGTGATTGTTCTGTTTTTCATGGAATCTTTTCAACAATGAAATGGTTGATCCAGCTTTAGAAACTCCTCTTTGTACAAATCATCTTTTGCAAGACTGACACGGAAATGTCTCTCCAGCACCTCTTTAACAACTTAACTTCTCAGTGTCATCACGCAGCCTTTCTGCAAGGAGGTAATAGCCCTCTCTGGCTAGTTCTTCGTTAGATTTACCTTCATAAGTCCTAAATCGATCTGCCCACCGGAATAAATCTCTTGGAGTTATATATTTATGTTTTCCAGCAAAAGCTTTGCTACTCTGCCTATCGCGTTGCAGGTCTTTCATCACTTCAACCATTTTCGTAGCATAACTTTTTGCAATAAGACACTTCTCAGTAAGAATTTCACTCAGTTCATCTTCTGGAATTTCATCAACATGAATCTCCACAAAGCGGTTACGAAAAGCTCGAGACAGTATTTTGCGTCCGCCATATAAAGCAGGAGGATTCTGTGTAGCAAAGAGCATGAAATTAGGATGCGCTGAGATTGTTTTTTGCAGCTCAGGCACAAAAAGCTCCCTATTGTCATCAAGCAGTCTGTTTAGTGCCTCCAAGACATCAGATGGGGCCAAATTTAGTTCATCTAAGACAATCCAATGTCCATCCCTGACAGCCTTCACCAACGCTCCTTCGTGAAATATAAGCTTCCCTGACGAATCTGTCATATAGGAACCTAAATATTCTTGGAGATCGGTCTGCTCATGATTATTGATTCGAACAAATTTGTTTCCACTTATTGCTGCGAGATATTTGACAAGGCTTGTTTTTCCACTGGATGTTGGTCCTTGTAAGAGAACAGGATATTTTTTAATAAAAATGGCATGCGCCAAGTGATCAAGGTGTTCAATAACACTCTTTGTCTTAACATATTTCCCCACAAATTCATCAGAACTGCCTTTTAATTCTCCCAAGTATCTTTGAAGTGGTTGGCCCCGGCTACTTTCCCTTGAGATACGTTGCAGTATTATTGGGTTCATGATCTTAGCACTGGAAGCATCCAATAAGGAGAGGAAAAACATGGAAAAACCATCGTATAGTGCTTTCTGAAATCCGCCAATACCTTCTGCTATTATCGCGTACTCTAGAGCACGGTAAAGAGACCTTTTAGCACCATACTGCAAGCATTCTTCAGATAACCTTTTAGCTTCTTTGTAAAAGCTAACAATGTTGCCTACTAACTTACTGTCAGATCCACGTCCACCTAAGAATCGTCTCGCGAATATCTCCAGGTCATCATCACACAAGTCATCATCCACAGCATACTCTGTAAATCTGCTACGGAAGGAGAACGGCAAGTCTCGCTTACCAGCATCCGTGGCTGGATTCATACAGGCAAACAAACGGAAATTCGAATGTCTGGGAATGCCCATTACATCCCCTCTCTCAGCTAAACACAGTGATCCTCTCACTCCTTCAAGAACACCAATAAGCCTACCCAATATCTCCGGTGGGGCTAAGTTTACTTCATCTAGTAAAACCCAATGCCCTTCCCTGAGGACAGTCACAAATGTACCTTCAACAAAGGCAAAAACCATCCCACCTGAACAAATTTGTTGACGAATCTTCTCCATTTTTTGGAAAATACGTGTC